TGTGTGTGTGTGTGTTTGTGTGTGTGTGTGTGTCTGCGTCTGTCCAAATATTTCAATTCGGCAACCACGCAAGCTCCGACGCCAAAATTTTGCCTGCGGATTCCCGGCCAAGTGCCACTCCAGGACTGCCGCACTAATTCTCATGCAAGTCTGGGCTCCGCGTACAAGAAGGCGAAAGTTTTAGCGAGAAATTCGCTAACTCGGGCACCAGAAAAGCTAGAAAGCTTAAATTATGGGGTTATGTTCCCCGTCCATCTGGAACTCAAAGATTTCAAACTCAGCCTCCAGGCATGCCTATTTCTTACTTACGGCCTCGTGAGAGTTTCTGACGCGAAAATGGCTAACTCGGAACCTAGAAAAGCTGGAAGTCTAAAATTTTCAGAGAATGTTCCCAGCCCATGCGCAATTTAAATTTATCAAATTCAGCCTCCAGATATGCATGGTTGTCACGGACGGCCCTGTGAAAATTTTTGGCGAGAAAATGACTTACTCGGGAACCAGAAAAGCTGGGAGGCTGAATTTTAAAGGAATATTCCCTATCCAATTACCACGCAGGCAATTAACTTTTCGGTCTTCGAGGAGCAGTATGTCACACATTTCTAGCTACTGGGTTTCCGAACGATCTCATTACAACATGAAATATTGCAAAAACGCATGATCGCACGTACCCACCTGGTGCGCGTCGTCAATGATTGGATCCCGAAATCACTTCCGCTAAAAATATTTGACGCGTCCATGCGTGAGAAGCAGGAGGGTGTAGATGTCTTCCGAAGTGGTCGGCCAAGTTGTTAAAATTTCGGCTTCTTAGCTTTCGTTTATCTGATAGTGGCAAACTGCAGGGAAACACATAAACACATATACACAAAAACACATACATGCAGAAACGCCAGACAATTTGCGTTTTTGCATATCATCAATTACGCAACAATGCTTAGTAAAATGTAGGTGGGTACTGTTTGCTCATTATTTTGCTTTGCTGTTATTGCCTTGTTTAATTCATAAGCAACATAAACAGAATTTCAGTTCAGTTCAAAATTTCAGGAGGAGCAAAGAGGACTGTTGGCGATTGTAATACTCGTCTCTGGGGTGGTGGGTGGGCTTATCGTCGTTATTACTGTTGTTTACATCTACAGGCTGTGTCTGAAAAGGCGACCACCACTGTCCACGTAAGTTAAGTCTTCTTTGAACAGATCATCTCTGGCTATTAAGTATTGTGGGAAAGCAAGGAATCTGCACCTTTTCCTCCTCTTATCCAGCTTTTTCCAGAGAATAAAGATCAATGTTCTTGCAACATGCCAGCTGCGGAAGTGTCCCACACCCGGCCCTGTTACCATTTCCTATAAAAAATGTGTTGGGCTGGATATAAGTACGTTAAGGAGAGCCTTTAGACGGTTAAGCGAGCTTTAACACAGCTAATTTTTGCAGACTAATACCTCTTGAGGCTGTACGATCAATTTTTCCCAATATATTTACGAACACTTAAAGCTGAAGAACAAATAAATCATATTTTTCTGGCAGAAAATTAAGGAAATTAAGTCCCAGTTGCGAAATATTTTTAGCACTGTCTGAACCTTTTTATTATACAAATGTACAACGGATGAAATAGTTCATGTGGATCCACTCTAACGAAATTGGTGATACTCAGAAATGAAATGAGGAAAGACTGTTTGAAAATTTTATTTGACCCATGACTTCAATCTAGCCGAAGCAAACTAGAAAGCGAAACTGTGAAGAGTGATATAGGAAAAAAACACATTCACTCTAGCATCTCGCGATCTAAAAGCGGGAAGGAAGACTAAATTACATCCCTTTTTATGCGTTTTTGCATATATGCAAATTGCAAAAACACATATTGTCAAGATGCTGTATATGTATGTCTGTATGTCTGTGTCTGTTTCTGCGTTTTCGTGCATTTTGCCACCCACTTTCAATTCGAGAAACAGAAAAGCTAGAAGGGTGAAACTTTGGGAGCACGTGTCCACACCATGCGCGACCCTGTCGTTTTAATATCATCGTCCCCCTACGTCTGGGTGCCGCGTACGGACGTCATGAAAAAACATACATATTTTCTGGCGGGAAGGCGATCTCGGGAACTGGACAAGGTAAGGAGTTGAATCTTTACAGGAATATTCCCTGTGCATATGTGAGCTAAAGATTTCAAATTCAGCCCTAGGTATGCGCGGTACTCACACAAGGGCGTATGAAAGTTTTGGCGGGAAAATTGTCAACTCGGTAACAAGGAAAGCCGGAAAGCTGGAATTTTTGGCGAATGTCCCTACAACTTAAATATTTCATATTCAGCATTCAGGTTGCGTGGTTCTCACGTATGGACACTTAAAAGTTTCGGCGGAAAAACTGCTCACTGAACGGCCAGGTTATTTTCAAAGAACGGCCGTTAAAGAGAAATTGTTCATTTACTTTATGCAAAATTTATGGTGATTTACGCTAGCGAGTGTAAAAGTAGATGCAAAGCAACAGCCATTCATACAGTTAATCACTGGAGTACTTCAAGTCTGATGCAAAAACGAATGATCGCACCGGCAAGCTGGTGCATTCCAATCTGGGTTCTGTTTTAACTAAAATTTTAAGTTAATGTTAATTCAAGGGAAAATGGAAGTTCGGTTTTCTCTTC